CCATGTTGGAGTCCGGGTGCTTAAATCCAATCTTTTCAGCAACCACAAAAAGACTTGAGATTGTCAATTCCGATTTTTTGTTTGATGGAATCCTCACAAAGTTGCTTTAAATCTTAAATTCATTTAGCATAGTGCTGCTCAAACTCATTGGTAACCCAGTACTCCGGCAAAGCTTCCGTGTGTCTGATTCCGTTTTGCAACGAAGGAATACGCGAGCTTTTTAGGGCTTATTCACAATCTTAGCCTGCAGCGCCACCCTGCGTCTTGATTGAGAAATTGATATTCTCAAGTCAAAGCAAATTTTGGAAGTGTCCAAAAGTAATCCATTTTTTGAAGGGTATAGAACTTTTACAAACTGTTATTCCATTGAATCGCATAATTTATAAGGTTATACCATTACATTGCATGATCCAGAATAATTGTGAGCACAAAACAAGAGGTTATCTTGGTCTCCCTACACCCTAATCAGTGGAACTTCAAAGAAATCCATTTCCCCTTTGCATAATCTAACCAGGGGGGACAAACTCTTATAAAATTACAATTCATAATAGTTATATCTGTTTATTTCCAAGTTTGTGAGGAATTTATAATGATGCAAAAGGTTTTTAAGGTGTTCTGTACCACATGGTCTCAGGAGACTATTTTTCAAAGGAAAGGTTCTATTTTCCTACACTGGTGTGCAAATAATAATACCGTTGAAAGAAGAGGCATCTTGCTTTGTTATGTCCTTTTACAGTGTGAACCCACATTAAATTTAGAAGGTAGTCAAATAGTGTTAGAATCAGATTCTTAGAACTGGAGAGGAGATGAAAGGAAGTTTTACGGATAAGGAACAAACTCAGGGGTGATAGGACTTGATTATTCTACTGGCTATTATCAGAATAATATCAAGACAAAACCAAATGCATAAAATCATAGAATTTCATTAAGATAAAAGCTTTAAGCTTAAGCTTCTTTAACTAGATAGATACCTATATTTTATAATGAGTTTGAGTCTTAACATATTCATCCCTTGTGTCCCAAATATCATATTTTTTGAACAGATGATTTGGAGGAAAACAAGAAGACCTGATTTAAAACATTTTAATTGGTGAGAAAAGGGTGCCTCAGGCTTTGTGTACTCATATATGATGAAGAGAAGAGACTTGTTTATAAAATGGATTCTAGCACAGTATACAGCTATTGTGATTATCCTGATATAGTAAGTTAACTGAGATACAGTTAACTAGCTTATTGGTTACAATTAGTATATTGAATGGAATACATTTGTCTTGGCACATATGGGATATCCCCTTCTAAAATATCTTATAATTAAATTTAATTACTTAATTCACTTAATAAATTGTAATTTGTAATTCATGTTGAATGAATTATTCTTAAAGTGTGTCAATAATCTTAGATACTAATAGAAAGTATTAGAAAAAATTATTTTTGAAAGAAAACTGGATTATAGTAGTTATTCAATAAATATCAGTTGAATACATTAATTAATCTACTGTAATTATTGTTTCTACCTATATATGAAGATTATTGTCAGATCATACATTCAGCCATGAACATGTCTGAAACTGAATATAGAATTCTGAGAGATGAGGGGATATACATTCTAAGTACTATTCAATTAAATTTACCTTGATTCAGTTAGATTAATTACTTCCTGTAAGAGATATAGCAATGGCAATAATAATATTCATACATTTTAGAATTTTCTTTCACATTTAAGGCAAATCGGAGGAGATATAATATGTATCAACATTAAGTAAAATAAAAAACAATACTGAAAAGGACAAAAGAAAGAATATTATTTTAGATATAAATGAAAAACAAATCTGGAAAAAATAAAGAGCAAATTGTTCATAATACAGTAACTAAGTTCTAGTTAGATTCACGTTAAAGAGTTCAGAACAAAATTTAAACTATATTTTATTTACTTATTCCTATATGCTGACATAGAAGTCATGTTGCAAATCAGCTTTTTCAGTTTCTTTTGTCAATCCAAAGCAAATGAAACCTACATACTATTAACATATATGTGCCACTATATGCCAGATACTATTCTAAGCATTTTATGTATAGTAATTCATTTTATCCCCTAAACAACCTTATGAGGAAGGCACTCTTATTATCTACATTTTATAGATGAAGAAATTGAAACACAGAGTTTAAATAGCCTTCCCACAGTCACACACCATGTGAAATGGCAGAGCTAGTATTCAGACTGTTACAGTGTGGCTCCAGAATCCATTATCTCATCTGCTTAAGTGGAATTGGAGAGGGTAGACATTTTAGATAATTTAGATCCAAACTTCAGCCTTGCCCTGGGGTACATAGATATCATAAGTGAAATATATTAGTTTTCAAGTTTTCAATTAAGAACCTTTAAAATGGTTTATCTTCCAATTAGGTTAAAAAAAATTAAGAGTGACATATATAATAAATTTTAGAGTTAATTTGCCAATTTCTGCAAAAAAATGGTTGGGATTGTGATAGAGATCACATTGGATATGTACACCAGTTTGAGGGTATCACCATCTTAACAAATCTCCCAATCCATGAACACTTTCTACTTACTTAGGTCTTCATTAATTTTTAATTTCTTTCAATGTTGGTTTGTAGTGTTTGGTGTACAGATTTTATACTTATTCTGTTAAATTTATCCCTAAGTATTTTATTCTTTTTGATGTGATCACAAGTGGAATTGTTTTCATTTCATTTTTGGGTTGTCCAATGTACAGAAATACTAACTGATTTTTGTATTCTGATCTTGTATCCTCCAATCTCAATGAACTCATTTATCAATTTTAGTAGGTTTTCATTTTATGTGTGGATTCCTTAGGATTTTCTTTATGTACAATCATATCCTCTGCAAATATACTTTTACTTCTTCATTTCCAGTATGAATTATTTTATTTATTTTTCTTGCTTAATTGCCCTGGCTAGAACTTTCAGTGCAACGTTAAACAGATGAGGTGAGAGGAGATGTCTTGTTTTGTTCCTGATCTTAGGGATTTCAGTCTTTCATCATTAAATATGAAGTTAGCTGTTGGGTTTTATAGTTGCCCTTTATCAAATTGAGTACATAACCTGTTATTCCTAGTTTGTTGAGTGTTTTTATCATGAAAAAGTGTTGGATTTCATAAAGAAAAAAATTTCTGCATTCATTGAGAACAATATGGAGAGAATTTAAAAGTATAAATACTTAATTTCCTAAAACAAAAAAGAAGAAAACAGCAATTGTGGGAAAAAAACACAAATTATTGTGAAAACCTGCCAAATAGAAATTTTGAAAAAGAAAACCATAGTTAGTCAAACAAAGAAAAATTCAGCATATTGGGTGAATCTCAAGTTGGGACCTACCAAGTATCAGAACATCAAAATAAAACATCTAAAAGAGAGTAAAGAAGTTTATAGATAAAAGAATGAGAACTAGACAGATATCACTTTTTCGTCAACAATGTTGAATACCAAAATAACAGGGCAGTGACTTTAAAATTAAAAAATCTACAGTCAAGAAAACCATTGGTTAAGATTATGAGTATTAGAAATAAAAATAACTCTAAATTAAGACTAATAGATTTCCAGCTTTAAAACATAAAAATTTACTCTAAGAAGCAAAAGACTCCTAGAATAAAGTAGTGGAATGTGTAGAAGAGCTGTCATTTTATTAAAAGTCTTCATTTGCAAAGAAGCCATATTTAAGAACTGAGGAAGATTTATAAAAAATACTTAATGAATGAAAGGAAATATTGTCTTTTCTCTGATTAAGAATTCATGCATTTAGTTCTCAGTTATATAAAATGACATCATTTATAACTATACATAATGTATGAAGGCATATCAATCTTAAATTCCTTTTCTCTTTGGCGAATTTTGAAAATCTCCGAGAACCTTCAGTTCTGTTTCTTCTAGTCATTAGTATTCAAATAAAATGCCTTTGAGAATGAGAAAATTTCTATGAGAAAACTTGTTTTTTCCTCATCAGCTTCTCTAATTGGGAATTAAATATTTTGTTACCTAAAAATAAGTTTTTCTGTTTACTCAAAATAGCCATAAAATGTGATGTTTTGGTTGCCTATTTTTATTTGTGGCTCATTTAGACTTTTACAGTGATTTTGCTCTCTCCTCTTCAGAACTTCCTATTCTTGTACATCTTCTTTTAATTACACTATAGGAGAAAGAATGCTGATGTGAATTAACAGTGTTTATCCCAGAAGGACCATACGGAATTCTAAATCATGTCAAGTTGAAAATAAGACAGGAAACAAAGAAAAGGTTTCCCTCATATAATGATATATAAATGCCAAGTCGATTTTAATTAAAAAGTAGAATTGGATGGGACACCACTTATACCATAAGGCATTTAGAGGTCATATATACATGTACTTTCTTGAAATTAAAAAAGGCCCTCAGATTGATAACACTTAAATCTCAGAATTTACTAAATTGTTATCCCACCAGATGCCTTATTCAACAATATTTTCATGCCAAATAGAAAAGCACAATCAGTTGTTCCAAATGCCTTACATTTAATTTTCCCCCTCAGTCATGAATACACTTTAAGCAAATCTAAGAGTAATTTGCCCTATTAGCCTATATTTTTGTCCACTTTTGGCCAATTTAAGTACATACAATATTGAAATATTAATTGCAAATGTCAAAAAGAAAAGGAATTAAATGTATTACTTTTATTTGGATACTATACCCCTAGAAATATGGGGCACCTTAAAATGGTACATCTTAAAGAAAACACATTCTTATCTACAAACTTCATTAACCATAGACAAAGTTGCTTTAGGAATATTATAAAGAACATTATCTGACTATATCAATAAAATAATTTACGGGATTGGTGGTTTGGAACTCTCAACATTGCTTTGGATATAGAATTCGAAGTGAGTTCCTTAAAATAAACCTATTTGAAATCACCATTAAAGATAATGAATTTATTTTTACTTAACTATTAGAAAAAGAAAAAGAGACATAAAGACTGCATTTCTTGCAAACAACATTCTGTGGCAGATGATAAAAACTGAAACAATTTGAGCTTGCTATAGCAAGAAAGTCTAACCTATTCCAGTGTTCTCTCCTCCTTGAGAAAAGCCATTATATAAACATAAGCAGTGTTAATAAAAAAGACTGCATTGTTAAGACAGGAAGCAAATGAAAAGCAGAGAATATGCAAAGATCAACAAAGTAAAGAGAAGGTGAAATTAATATATAACAAAATGTTATATCAACTAAAGATTCTTGTTTTAAAAAAATCATCGTTAAACAACTATTTTTAAATTTTTCTGTTAATGAAACCTAAACTACTCTTGCAGTTGGAGTATTGCGCTAGTCATGCTCAGTGTCTTGAACCAGACCATTGGGGAGAATAGGCTTCAGGAACTTGAACTCGCTAGTACCTGAACCTCCCATCAGACACACCTCATACTGGTAGCTCTGGGACAGGGTCTCACTGCCACTGACGTCCACCAGGTGGCCCGGAAAGTGGCCCTCGGGCACCGAGCAGCCACCCAACGAGGCGCTTCTGCCCCTCTTGCACAGCCGCACCGCGATGAACGCCAGCACCGAGAACAGGAAGAGCGACGACACCGACGCCAGCGCGATGACCAGGTAGACCGTGAGCGGGTCGGCCTGGGCCGCGTCGGCAGCCGCTTCCGGGAGCGGCAGGTAGGGCTGCGAGAAGCCGTCCACCAGCAGCACGTGCAGCGTGACGCTGGCCGACAGCGGCGGCTCGCCATTGTCCTTGACCAGCACCAGCAGCCTGTGCTTGGCCGCGTCGCGCTCGCTCAGCAGCCGCGCCGTGCGCACCTCGCCGTTGTGCGCCCACACGCTGAACAGCCCGGGCTCCGTGGCCTTGAGCAGCTGGTACGACAGCCAGGCGTTCTGGCCCGAGTCGCCGTCCACCGCCACCACCTTGCTCACCAGGTAGCCCGGCTCGGCCGCCCTGGGCACCAGCTCGGTGCAGGCCGCGGAGCCGTTCTGCAGCGGGTACAGCACGAAGGGCGAGTTGTCGTTGGCGTCCAGCACCAGCACGCGCACCAGCGCCTGGCTGCTCAGCGCCGGGGAGCCGCGGTCCACGGCGCCCACGCCGAACTCCAAGACCCGCAGGGCCTCGTAATCCAGCGCCCTCAGGGCGAACAGCTGCCCGTTGTCCGCGTTGATGGACACCAGGGAGGCCAGGGGCAGCTGCGGGTCCTGGGGCGGCAGCAGCGAGTAGGTGACCTGGGCGTTGGCGCCCGCGTCTCTGTCTGTGGCGCTGACGCTGCCGATGTGCAGGGCGGGGCTGTTGTTCTCGCGGACGAACAGCGTGTAGGAGGTTAGGGTGAAGGCCGGGGCGTTGTCGTTGACGTCGGAGACCAGTACGGTAATGTTGTGCTCGGTTTTCAGTCTGGGAGTCCCCAAGTCGGTGACGGTGACGGTGATGTTGTACTCGGATCTAGTCTCTCTGTCCAGAGCTTCTTCCGACACTAGGGTGTAAAAATTCTCTACCGACGGTTTCAGGATGAAGGGGAGATTGTTCTCAATGGAACACACCATTCTTCCATTGTCTCCAGAATCTAGATCAGAAACACTGAAAACGGCCACCACGGTCTCTAGCGAGTTTTCCGGGATAGGGCTGGTAATTGATGACAAGGTCAGTTCCGGTGGGTTGTCGTTCACATCGACCACTTGAACTATCACTGTTGATTTTCCCGACAGGCCTCCACCATCCTTGGCTTCTACGTCGACTTCATAACTCTTAATTGTCTCAAAATTCAAATATTTGACTATCTGGATATCACCAGTAATTGGATTTAGTTGAAAAGTTTTGCGAATTTCTTCAGAAGCATGAAAAAATGAATATGATATTGTTCCAAAATTTCCTGTATCTAAATCAGAAGCTGAGACAGTGACAATAACAGAGTTAATGGGGCTGTTCTCTAGAATTTGAACCTCATAGAGCGACTGTGTAAATTCCGGGGCGTTGTCATTTATGTCTAAGACCAGGATGTGGACCTGGACGGTCCCAGACCGGGGTGGAGTCCCGCCATCCAGCGCCATAAGCGTTAAACTGAGTTCAGGCTGCTCCTCACGGTCCAGCGCTTGGTCCAGCACTAATTCTGGGTACTTCCTTCCGTCCCTACGACTGTTTGTGAGAACGTGGAAATGGGAATTCGGAGTGATCGTGTAATTTTGGAGGCTGTTTCTTCCCACATCCAAGTCCTCAGCATGTCCCAAAGGAATAATGGTTGCTGGTGGAGTGCTTTCTAGGATTTTCAGCTGCATTTCATTTTCAAAGAATACGGGAGAATGGTCATTGACGTCTACGACCTGGAGCTCATTTGGAATAAATTGCAAAGGGTTTTGCAGTAAAATCTGAAAATGCAATATACATGGCTCTGTGGGGCCGCATAGCTCCTCCCGGTCCAATTTCTCATGCAGGAGCAAATCACCAGTCTGAAGGTTGAGCTGAAAATGCTGTTTGTTTCCTTTAGACACAACTTGGGCCCCTCTCACGGTCAGTTCCCCTACACTCAGCCCCAGATCCTTTGCTAGGTTGGTTATTAAAAATCCCCTCTCTTTTTCCTCAGCTACAGAGTAGCGTCTCGATTCGGACCCAGCCAGAGATCCACCCAGAAAAACAAAGAAAAACAGGACTTGCCTTTGTCTAAGAAATCGCTCCCCTCCAGCCTCCATTTCACTTTCTGTCATGTCTTTTCAAGAAATTTTGCCAAGCTGAGCCTCCGATGTCGCTGGGAAATGCCGTCTTTTGCCTCCCAACCTTTGAAGAAAGTCTAGCAAATAATCCCTTTTTAGGACTCAGATTTGCTTGCTTAAAAATCCGCCCATGCTCACAACCCCTAGTTTACCTCATTGGATCCGTGCGTTAGCAAATACAGTGGCTGTCGTTTAATTCTCCTTCTTAGTCAACAGCGCCACCATGCGTTCGCTAGCACTTTCAAACACTTGGAGAAGGGTTTTTTTGTTTTTTTTTGTTTTTTTTTCTTGTTTGGGAGTTCCTTTTTGTTGTTTTGATATTTTTAATCGCTTATTCCCCTTAGCAAACCCAGTTGACGCTACTGGAGGAGTTTCTTGTGTTATTCGAGTTATATAAACACAACCTAGGGAAATTAAATGTGCTGTCATCTACAAGAAGTGATTGTCCCTGGTAGAGTCCTCATTTATATGGTTTTTGGGAAGTGGACACCTGCTAGGGCTACTCCTAGCGTCTGTAATTATTACACATAATTTTAAAAAATTGCTCTAAATGATGACATGTTTCACTATCTTGTTTGTTTTTATTTTCCAGATTTTGTAAAATGTGTACGAGTTCCTCTTACAATCAGGAAAAAAAAAATGCTATGAAAAGATGACCTCGTGCAAGGTGATATAAATTACAATAGATCACGTCAGGGATATACCTGGAGACAAATGCCTCATTCCTTCCACAATTTCACACTCAAGGAACACAGAGCTTTCTTATTTCACAGTAATTTTACAATTATTGGTTTCATCTGTGCTAACTGTACTAACCGTTTCATCCGCATAACTGCATTTCACCTGTGGAAACAGATGTTTGAGTTTGTAGAAGTTAGGCATATAGTGGGAACAAGGCAGAAATATATATCTTATACAGTTTTCCATACAATGAGGTGAACGGATTTTAAATAGATGTTCAAATGAAGTGTGAAAAGTGCTACATATATACTGAATGCACTTGAAAGCAAAAGGGGGACCTAACTTAATGGGGGGGGGGTGAGAAAGTTTCCCTAAAGAAGTGTCATTTAATCTGGAACATGAAGGATGAAAAGTTTGCCAGGCTAATACTGTAAAATGGGAAAAAATCCATATATGAGAAGCCAGTATGTAAAGGCCCTGGGCTAGTAAAGCAGAGCTATTCTAGATAATGAAGGAAGCGTAGTGTATCCAAAACTTAGTGTCTCAAGAGTAAGTGGAAAGAGAAGTCTGGAGAGGTAAACTGGGGACAAATAACAGGTGCTTGGATTTTATTCTAAGAATAAAAGGAAGCTATAGCAAGATTTTAGACAGAAATGAAACAACACAAATGTGTTCAAAATACCTTCTTCAGGAATTATCAGGAATGGTACATGAAATCTCATCTATTAACTTTCCTCTTAATATTAGTAATACTTAAAAGAATAGCAAATACACTTCTCTGTTTTTATAATTTCTTATTTGATCATAATTGCAAGCTATTAAAATAGCTGTTATTATTTTGTGGGGAGAGAAACTATGTGACTGATCCAAGATCCTATAGGTGGTAAGTTGGTTAATCAGAGTGCTCTACACCACTCTGTACTCTACACCACTGCTAATCTCAAAATAATACATTTAAAATTTATGTTATAATTTAAATCATATAGATCATTCAAATATACATTAAATAACATAAAATTTAAAGACAGGCTGAAGAACATTATGAATTAAAATTTAGGTTTAATGTATGAATCAGAAATTGAGCTGCAAAAAACAGTTGAATTAATTATTTAGATAATTCTAGAAGGAAATTTAAATTATAAAATTAAAAACACAACTTCCCCATTTGTATTCCTCAAGCTAGTGAGAAGGAGAGGAGATTCAAATTAAGCAGGAAGAGATAAAGGAAAAATATGTTGAAGGGAAGAGACACCAGGAACTGATAACTGCATAGTTTGAATAACAGTGATCAGTTCAATGAATAACCAAAAATTATATTTATATATAATTCATTATATAGCAGAGAGCACTTAATTATAGCAAAAATTTTATCTTGTATTTTAATGTATTTAAATATCAATATATATCACAGGTGAAATAAAGACACTGCTTTCAATTGGTCAAAAATTTTATTAAGAATCTATCATCTTCAAGTCATTGTGCTAATCATGCAATAAATGAAGAGCTATTGAGAAACATAACTCAAGCACCTAAAAAAAAAAAAAAGCATTGAAAAGTAGGTAACTGAAAGGGGAAAACAGAAGTAGCCAGTGCGGGGAAAAAAATGGAATGACCTGACAGACCATGATAAATACTTTCCCCACAGGCTTATTTCTAATGGAATTATACATGCTTCAGAAAAATTTGAAAAATGCAACACCAAACTACATCTGAAGTCTCTAAAATTTGTTCGAGAAG